TTCGCATTAGATATAGATTTATTAGTAAGTATTAAGTAGGCTCTAGATTTGCTTAGAAATAGGATAGAACCAAAGTGTTTTTTGTTCCCAATGAAGTTAATTTCCCGAAAATAATTTCAATAAAAACTCATGAAAAAAACTTTAACTCTACCACTGCTCTGCTGAGAAGAAGCAGCGCAATAAACTCAGTCACCTTTGCTTTATTTACTTAGCTCACAATTTTAGACGTTCATTCTACGAATGAATTTCCCCACCAAACAAGGTCAGTGGTCCCAAGAATAAAACCCCAAAATAATCACCACTAAAAGGGCCCCAATACCGCCCAACCCGGCCCTGTGTCTTCGGGAAAATATACCCTCATATTTTACATACAGGGCACATTAGGCTATCACTTAAGCAAGTTCAGAGCGTACTTCGTAGCAATTTTGAGAGCCCACCCGATAAATTGGCAGACCGTATAGCTAATAAGTGGGAAGATAGTGTCGGTTAGTGAGGGGGGGAGTCGATAGATATATCGATTGATAGACCGTCAGTTGGTAGTGATGGGACTGTTCATATTTGTAGTTATGTCGCTGCAACTCCCTTGTAGCTTAGAAAGCTTGATATCGACGGTTAAGAACCAAACACTGCTATCTGCAAAAAATCAATTTTGCAAGAGAGCACAAAAACGTTTTATAAAATTATTTTTTGAGATATCAAAACAATGTTAGTGTTTATCTCTAGTATTGTGGCAAACGATACTTGGGGTAGTGATAATATTTATTTCTGCAGTTACAGTACTAATAATAACCTCTGTTTATCACCTGTCATCCGCTTTGTAGTGGAGGGAAGTCGAATCTTAACTTCGAACTCCTCCTAAAGTATGACCTTCTAATTGATTTCGTTGCGGGTCCAATAACAGTTTAACTTTCCCCCGGGACAAACTTGACCTTCATTGGTTGGGTTTTTATGGCGGTCAAGCTGTAGATCCTGGCTATACAGGAATTGCAGCGGTGGGAACGAGAGGTGGGAATAGTCCCGAAGTACTAATAATGCCTTATGATCGCTAATAATACCTTACAGATGACTGATTTATCCACGAATTTTTAAAGATTAAAGAAGTTCTAAGCTCTTTCACTTATTTCTAGTGATGTCTGCCTCCCGCACAAAATACATACGAGTAATGTTTACGTAGTTTTCTCGCATTTATATCGCACAAACTACGAGTAAGAGTATACAACAAGAATGTTTCTTTACACGCTCTAGACCGTTTCATATAAAGACGTAGTGTACGTGAGAGCATGCTTCACCGCATTGACGGTGGGATGCACTCGACACGAATTGTGAAAAAAGTATGCAAAATTTTCTGTTTGTGACAGTACACAACTTGATGCTTAAATATTCCACATTGTGCAAGAGGGTATTTTGTGAGAATAAAGTATTTTTCTAGAAGATATTTCCATTCTCAATACACAGTGTGTACTTTAACGAATATTTTAATCAAATCTCATCTACAGTTATTTCAAGATTGTAATATTGCAGTAACGGGACTATTCCCACCTCTCTTACCCACCGCTGCTGTGTAGCCAGGATCTACAGCTTGACCGCCAATAACCCAACCAGTGAAGGTCAAGTTTGTCCCGGGGGAAAGTTAAACTGTCATTGGACCCGCAACGAAATTAATCAGAAGAACATAGGAGGAGTTCGAAGTTAAGGTTCAACTTCCCTCCGTTGTAATTGCAGTAGGTACTTTACTAATAAATTGAAATTTAATTTCAAAGGAGCTATTGGATATTATTAAGTGCAATCTGCCATAACTGTTTTTCGATAGGCCATCCATGAATAGTCAATCTTTTCATTTTCCAACAAGTTTATCGACAAAATTAGTGACATTACTAGTAATTGTGTGGTACGATGTAGCCACCTTGCAGTATTGAGCGCTGGGGTGCTACAAGGCAGACCCTTACACGTGGACTGTGTTAAACCATTTTTAAAGAAGATAAAACTAGAGTTGTTATGCCACGTTTCTTTTATACGATAAAAATATAATCTTTTTTGGACTCAACATTAAAACAAACTTAAAAGACTGAAAATTAATAGCAATGAGAAAATTTCAATGACTTTATTGTTGCACCCACAAGATGGACCGACGACCTCATAAAGGTAGCAGGAAGGCGCTAGATGCAGGCCTAGGTTCAGCAGTGGACATCCTTGATGATGATGATTGTTACAAAAAATACATTAAATTGTAGTACAGTTTTGTGAAAATGTTCTGTCTTTTAGTTTTAGATTTATTTTAATCGAATTGTTTTATTCATTTTCTTCACCAATAGTTAGTAATGAATAAAATATATTACAATGGCAATACTGTCTTTGTATTTAATTTAAATTTAACGCGAAGTCGTTACGTTGACATTAAAACTTTCCCATTCCACGAATTGCGTTCTTTGTGTTTAATTACAAAGTATTCCCAAAAATAAGTTCAAAGTCAAAGTCAATTATTATTGAAAGATTCAAAGGCCTTTACATTGTTTGCATTGCGTACTTTGAAGTTATTTCGTTTTGTTTGATTTAATTAAATTACAAAGAAATCTAAAAGCTTTGAGAGATCGTATGTCTGTCAGGGTACTTTATACTTTGTGTAGTGGGTCTTATTATCTAATGTAATATTAATACTTTTATATTGATTCAGTAAACGAGGCCCAAAGTAAATAGAGCCTGGCTGTAGTTAGAATATAATGTAACCAATAAGTAGGTTTACTAAGAGGGTAGAATAAGGATCATTCAAAATAGGTTACCCTTTAAGCCCTAAAAATTATAGAAGATGAATATTGACATGTGAAACCCATCTGTTCTCATACTAGGAATTTTATATTTATACGTTTTGTAAAGGAGTGTAATATCGTTGTTAGAAGATTTAAGTGTTTTGAGTTTTTAATAGTGAAGCAAGTTTTAGATATTATACCTCAGTTACCACATTGAACACAATTTGTATACTTATTCTATATTCATTGTATTCAATACAAATATTCACATCCAAATAAAATACAGAAGCTATCGGCACTTGTCGAATAAAAGCGAGTTTATTTCCGTAATAATTACTGTGGCATCTGTGTCGCAGGTAGACTGTTAAATCGGACATTTTTTATTTACAAGATAAGTTCTTGGTCTGCATTATTTGATCCCAAAGTATAATCAGGCCGAAGGTAGAAGCGACCTTCACCCGGAATCCTCAACCACAGACGAACTGGCTGTCTTGCCTTTAACTGCAGAAACGCAATATGCTCTTAAAATTGATGTTATGGCGACAGACTTAGGAAAGATGGTGGTAGCCAGCCAAGCGGACTTAAAAACAAGTCTTACTATCAACCAAAATTCCGGGTGTCATAGTCATTTAGACTCGATATTCGATAGTCAATTGTCAAAAACTTTATCTGTGAGAGCCTTTGGCGTTTTAAGCGCTCTTGTTTATCAGAAAAAAATCTTTACCTCTGTAGCAACATGTACAGAGATGAAAGAAGTATGTGGACACTGCCACAAGCTCCTTAGCATGTGACCTAGCTCCCCAATTTGTAGGTATTCTAGATAGACAGTCTATTTTTGACAGACTAGAATTAGACAGGCATTTCGTAGTTAGGTAAGAATTAAGCTACCATTCTACCCCATTTTTTTTTTTCAGATTTTTGTGATGACTAGAATATCCCATTCTCGTTACTTTTTGAACTTGTCTAGACCCACACTTACCCCGTAACATCAACCCTTATCCGTTGGAGGCCAATCGGCAGGGGTCAGATCGACACGCCCCCCCTCCCTTAACCCCACGTCTGGGCCAAATAGACCGGATCTGTTATATTATTAGCCGCCTGATGACCGGTGTCTGTTATTGGTAATAAGGGGTCGCAGGATCGATTCCCGACGGTTGGTAGAGTCAATTATGTAGACACAATGTTGTTGATGCTTAATGGCATGTGTGAACTGAAGAATTAGGACTTAATTCTTAGGAAAATAGTGCTTTATTGAGATTATTTGGAAAAGATTCAGTATTTTGCTACGAAACATATTAAAATACCCCTTGAACTTTTCCAAGGTTTAATGTAACTCCAACACAGTCGGCTTAGCGACAAATAGACGTATTTTACATACTATTATATAAATTTTGCGGAACTGAACTAGAACTTTATCTACTATAGCAATACTTTTTTGTAAAAGAACAGGCGACCAAAACTCATTCTTTTTTTCTCCCTCTAGCCATCTCTATTTCCTCTTGTCCTCCACTCCTCTCTTTCGCTCTCTACAATCTCAATATTTCAATATTTATAACGATTTGTGCCGTGTGGGGACGGCCGTAAAGAATACAATTCCCCACCGCCAACAGGAGGCGTGTCGTAAGAGGCGACAAAATCCTGTAGCACGAGATGGGCAGCAGCGTCTGCGTGCGAAATTTATAAAAAACTGCGCTCGCCAACCCGCCTGCCAAGCGTGGCGAGTATCGGCAATGATCCCCCCAATGAGGAACACAACAGCGACCAGGCCCCCAGTCTCCGGTAGCCCCGCAGTTCCTGGCTACGGTAGCGGTCAGGATAGCAGCGGGGCGGGGGGTGCTAAGAGCAGGGAAGCGCTGGACGCAGGCCGCTACCAATCGATCAACATGGAAAGCATTGGGGGAGGCCTATGTTCAGCAGTGGACGTCCTATGGCTGAAATGATGATTGATTATAACGATTTTACAATTATGTTTAAAGTCACGATAGCCGAACGGTGAAGGGGTCGGACTTGTCGACTCGAGATCCGAGGAACGCTGGTTTGAATCCCACCGCCGCTCGACTATTGTGGTGAGCCCACTCGTAACACAAGCTTATTTAGCTTAATACGAGGGACTGACGGGAGTATTAGTAATTTGTGCAAAACCAAATGGCTAAGTCTTTAAAAAAACACTTGAGGGCTATCTCTTACAGTACCATTTGTCTTCCATTGGACTCAAACCCCCACCAGCTCACAATAACAATCTGTTCTCCCTTCCAGTGCCTCCTAACAAGACGTTCATCAAAGGCGTCGGTGAGCACGCCACCCAAGGGACCCTTCTGACGCTGGTGTGCACCGCCTCTGGTGCCAGGCCTGCAGCGGAGATACAGTGGTTCAACGGGACCGACAAGATGGACAGACAGCAGTACAACATCAATGTGAGTACCTACGCAATTATTAAATTCAAACTAATACTACATTACGTTCTTCCTTAGCCATGATGGGGAGTGGGAGTGGCTCGTGGTGTAAGCAGGCCTCACACTAGGTGAACCAACGGTCTGATTAAGGTCGCAGGAAGAACCTGGATGCGAGCAACTCACGACCGGTCGTTTTGGACATCCTTCCCTTGGTGGAGGATTTTATCCAGCAGTGAAATTATGATGAATGAATCTACGTTCTTCGCTGCGCTTGCCCGTACGATACCCCCTTTCCAGAATCCTAAAGCTCAGCTATAAATCTACATGCTATGTGCCTACACGGTGACCTTATAAAGGCCGCAGGCCTCTAACCTTCCAATCTGGAAATCATTGCGGGATTTTTAAAACATACTTCATCATCATCGTCATAATTTCAGCCATAAGACGTCCACTGCTGAAAATAGGCCTTCCCCCAATGTGTCTTATTTATTTTAATCTTACGAGCTTTTTGATCTTTTACAAGTTACCCTGTATAGATTCGACTCTACTATCCAGTCCAAACAGATTTTTTTAAACAAGTGCAGTGCAGCAGATCCCAGGATTACCCTTCAAAGAACAAACTAACAAAACTCTCTTCTTTTAGTCTCCATATATAAAATACTCGGACCTTTATTATATGCTGACTTCAAAATTTGATCCGGTAATAAAAACGCGTTCCACGTTGCTCGTATAACCGGGGCGGAATCTACGTCACAACGGAAATTTCGTCACTGGGGATCTTTATACCATACGATTAAGAATCGGAAAGCATTAAAATAGCAATATTAACAAGGTAAGGCTGCGTTTCTATTGGTTCTTTATAAAAACATACTTACCCTCGCATATCTCTGGTGGAAACGTAGCCATAAGGGTATAAATGAGTAGGAATATAACAAGTTAGTAAGTAACCTACGAGTTACTAAAAAGTATAAAACGACCGCGGAAATTCCTTTAGAGTTAAGTGAGTTTGTTCTACTATAACTATAAAATTAAACGTGAATAATTGTAAGGATGGTTGTGTAACTCTTTCACGCAAAAACTACTGAACAGGTTTTGATGAAATTTGGTACAGAGATATTTTAGACCCAGGGAAAAACATTGGGTAAGATATTATAATTTTGGTTATAAAGATTTTTATTATTATTCTGTAACACACCGAAATCCACTCTTGTAAAGTCACAAACAAAAATCAGTTACGAATAAGTCTTATTACCAAATAAAAGAGTTAAAAGATCCTATAGTCATATAAGAGTCGCATCGAACCCCCTAAAAGCGCTCACTATTCTCGCTCCTACTTCGTTATTTCAAGACGAGGATGGTCTACGTGATTTAGTTAACTCCACAGTGTTTAATGAAGACGGATGGAGGAGCCGCGCCTCGTAAGAGCTGATAAGGTTTATATAAGCTACACAGTGGTGTTATAAAAGTGGTATATGAAAAATAATAACACCGATAAAAGGGCTCTTATTCTACTTACCCTACTAATATTATAAATGTGAAAGTCATGGGGATGGCTGTTAGGGTAAAAAGATTATGCGACATGTAGAGGCTCTTTAAGAGCAAATTATTTGTAAGTACTATCACAGAATAATAATAAGTACTACGTACAGAAGTTTTACTTCGCGAAGGTATTTAAAAAAATGTATGCTCAATGTCATTAACAATATGGTTGGTCTGTCTTTGTCTTGTCCTTTTGGTCCATTTTGTTGACAAACGTCAGTGATCGGCACTGCGCCGAAGCTATAGGGCTGACTTCGGTAAAATGATGTGACGTGAGGTGCCAAACTGCGGAAAATGGCGGAGGAAATACATGATTTAGCATGAATTATCAAGAATAATATTAACTACTTATTTACATCTCAGTGTCTTTAGGCAACTTAAAAAAGTACACCATTTTCTTTATTTTCTTCCATCATACACAAGAATACGCATGCGTGAGTCAATGTTCGCTCGTATGTGAGGCCTTGTCGAATAGTATCCTGTAGGTGGGCCATCGTGCGTGTTTTGTTTTCGATGTAAACTCGCGGAGATGAACAGGCCTGGTACTATTTATTAGTCTACACAATTAAAGAAATTTTGACTTTAATTTTGATGGATGGATGTTTGTTACTTTGTCACCCAAAAATTACTTAAATCATTTTGATGAAGCCTAGAATAACATGTAGGTTATTTTATAACGATTTTGCAAACCATGCAGGCTAAGCTGCAGGCAAATACTTGTTCACTTTAAAGATAAATTCTTCCAGTCATCATAATACAAAAATGTTTTTTTTTTGATGTTATGGATATTACGTGTCTACCTTCATACTAGTCATCATAAAAACACTATTTTAATAGTATTTCCAAAAGAAACTTAATGTAATCCTACTAATATTAAAAACGCGAAAGCTTGTATGGATGTTAAAATATGTTTGTTACTCTTTCACGCAAAAACTACTGAACGGATTTTGATGAAACTTTACAGTATTATTGTTTATTACCCAGAATATATATGTATATTTATGACGATCTGTGACAAACTAAATTTCACGCGAGTGGAGCCGCGGGCAAAAGCTAGTACCTATTATAATAGAAGTTACATAAAGTCAACACTAGAAACTAACTGAAAAACGGCGTAACTCGAAAATTAACAAACTAACCGATTTAAGGCAACGCAAACTCGATTAAGCGGTTTTCAAATATTTGACCGAGGAACCCCGAATTAATTGTGGAATGTAATAGAATTGTTCAAGGCTTTAAGCCTTTTGATTCGTTGGGCGGAACGTTTTTTGGATTCCAAAAGTTAGGTTTTAATTTGTTAGGACAATTATTTTTTACTTTTTCGACTGCTTTTGACGACTGTAAAGGTTTTTTGCGGATCTGTTTGAAGCGGCCCTCAAATTTGATTGCTTTTGGGTACTTTGGACGTGTTTTAGAAGTGTTTTATAACACTCTTATACAGCTTTTAGTCTGTTTTCGTGGTAAATATGATTGTACAATGTAATAAAGTACTTTTAATGAAAGCACAACAACAACGTACTTTTATACTTATATAACTAATATTTTCAATGTATCGCTGTTGGTTTCAATTCTGCTTATAAGTGATTTTATATTTAAAAATCTTTAATAAGACCGTGATCGTATCATTATATGAATAATATTAATTAATACACGTCACAAAATCTTACTCTAACCAAAAATTCAGAGGTGGCTCGATATCAGATCATTCAGTACGCCCTGATATTCACAAACGATACTTGCTTAAGTGAAGCAGCAAATCAAACGCACAGCGTTGAATAGAGCTCTGTTATTGGTTCATGTGTCACCCTGTGCGTCCATACGCACTGTGAGACTTGGAGTTTGTGAATACGGGCGATAAGATACTATCTTGGATTGAGATTATTCTATAGGTATTTGTATAAACTCCCTGAGAATGCATCGTCCATATCAGCTCTATAGACTTTAGCTATAGACGATGCTACGTATTTCCGACGGACTGCCGCTGAATTTCTCCGAGGCGCCACCTGCCGTCCGCCGTCCGCACTTAATGGAACATAGACGGCGTAGAGTCGCGAGTGTTTAGTTGAAACCCCTCGTGGTAATATGCTAAAGATACGTTGCACCGCTTTTAACCGTGATTATAACAATAACCGGTGTTTTTTGTATGGAATTTGACAGATTTTAGACTCTTTTAAGTTTGTTAAAGTAAAGTAAGGTCGTAAAACCAAGCCTAAATGTGCCTGTGATACGAATGGATTCACCACAATAGTCCCACTCAATAGTCACCAAAATAGTTCACTATTTGTTGGTCCAGATAAAGAGAAAAAAAACTGTGGCGGTCTGGGCAATGACTACTTTATTGTAAAAACATTCGACATGACAGTTCAATATAAATTGATATCAGTACGTGTGGGACATATAAGTGCCCTGAAAAGGATTTTCATTCGTTCGTTCTGAAAGGTTTTTGATTCACATTAAAATTTTTCGTAAACAGACGACTCCACAGTTTTCCCTGTCCGGTCGTCGCAAGGTGTGTCCGGCCCAATAAGTCAAATTCAATAATGCTCACAAATGAAACGTCACAGATTTTATATTTTCCGACGGAAACTTTGTTATACTGTTTCTGATACTTCGAAACTTGGACATGAAGGAAAATAATTAAATAACACTTTGAAAAATGTGTTCCACTAATTTGTACAAGACTAGAAAACTTGCTAAGAAGTAACACTGTCTTTAATTTGACATTGACACAAATGTTTTCTTAAGTAACTAGCTTACCCGGCGAACTTCGTACCGCCTATGTAGAAATAATGTAGCACTCCAATGGTGAAAGAATTTTTCAAATGAGTGCAGTAATTTAGGAGCTTATTCAATACAAACAATCAAATCTTTCATCTTTATAATATTAGTGTACATTTGAGTAAAACTACATTTGACTGTAAAGTGAAATATCGTTGAGAATATAAAAATTTGACGCCCGTATTCACAAACATTACTATGAGGTCTCACAGCGCGCGTGGACGCACAGAGTGATACACGAACCAATCACAGAGCTCTATTCGACGCTGTGTGTTCCATTCGCCGCTTCACTTAAGCAAGCGACGTTAGTGAATACGGGCGTCAGTCTCCGTTTCAGGTCCATTCACATCATATCCTATACAAAACTGCCAAGGTCTAATGGCACGTACGTAAATGAGATCATCATCATTCCAGCCATAGGACGTCCACTGCTGAACATAGGCCTCCCCCAATGATTTCCACAATGGCCGGTTGGTGGCGGCCTGCATCCAGCGCCTTCCTGCTACCTTTAAGAGGTCGTCGGTCCACCTTGTCCACGCTGCGCTTTCCGGTACGTGGCCTCCACTCCAGGACCTTGCTGAAAATTGTGAATGAGATAATTACTATTAAATTTCACCCCACACTTTACCAAGGCTGCATCATTAATTACATGCAAAAAAGGCTTCACCGCCACCGCTAACTACCTGAGAGCAGAAAAAACTAAA